TTTGTTTTACATGGAAATTGTTCATTAAAGTGATTTTTTTTTTTTTTACAATTGATTATGACATTTCTTTCGATTGTCCAAAAAAAAAATTTTGCCCAGCAACCTGGAAAATCATTTTTCCACCAAAAAGGTGGGAGAATGATTTCCCTAAAACCAAGGCTTTTAGGCGCGTGGAGCAGCCAAGTGGAAAACAAATGGGTGGGAAAATATAGCCTATCAAACAAGACAAAACCAAGGAAAATGAATTTGTTTTCCAAGTTTCAAGGAAAATTAAGTCTTTCAACCATGGCCTAAATGTCAAATTCTTTAGGGATTCCAACTCGACTCCTCGAATTTCGAGACCACATAGTCAAATTATTCACATGTCTAACAAAATTAGATTAAATAAAAAATAATAAAAATATCTCATTTTCAAGCATCATTCTTAAAGTCGCCGTGGGAGTGAAAAGACGAGGAATTGAGTTCTCATTCATTTTTGCAATATCTTTATTGAAATAGTAAGAAATCAATTAAAAATTAATTTGATTGAATTAAATGGTCAACAAGATATTTTTAAACTTTCAGACTATTCACCGCTGGATTTGACTGCACATTTATGTTAAGTGCTGTGCTTCCCGTACAATGCCACGAGTCACATACGTGTTTCTTTACTCTTAGAATAATGACACGTAGTCCCATCGAAATCGCAACTCCAATTTAGATGACGTTAGATGATTGATTAAATAAAATGTGAAATTAGAGATAGTAACGGATGGGATATGAGATGGATCGATCACTTTCACTCTCGTCCTATCGGATATTTTTGTTACCTTATCCCATCTCCATACCTATTTAAAGTGGGTTTAGGGTGGGACGGAGGCGAGATAGGCGGGGCAGGGCTATCCCATTTATTTTTTCTTTTAAATTTTTTATTTTTTTTATTTTTTTTTATATCATCACTCAGTAAATATTATTACTTTTTTTACCGATATGTTAGAAATAATTTTTTTTTTAATGACGTTAGAAACAACTTATGTTCTCTTCAAAAATACGATAAATCAATTTTTTTTTGATAAGAAATTTAAATTTAAAATTAACTTTAAATGAGACGGTTAGTGAGACGGGAACCCACGAGTTTCGGGTTAAACAGATTTTTCTGCCATCCCTATGTAAAATTAAATGGGTTTTATCATTTAATGTCACATCATCGCTGTCTAAACTGTGATTGCAACTCTAATGAGGCTAAATAGAATTACTTGGTTATATTAGGAATATATTAATTTGGTCCATAATTAATAATTATAGATTTAGCAATAATTAAGCCGAAATTTGGGGGTTTAAGTAAAGAAATAGACAAAAGTGGGCCATGTCTGATTCCACCTTCTCTATTTTCAATACAATCGTGGGAAAATTACACAAATAGCACTCGAACACGATAAAAAATGAATAGTAACTTTTTATTAGATTTGGCTTGCAAAAGTCAAAAAATTAAGAACAATTGAAGAAATCAGTGGCGATACTTACACACTACATATCCAAGTAGTCGTCTATCCTATCTACGTAGCATCATTCTTCTTCTAAGGTCAGGATATTAGCTACTATATGCTGCTAGGAAAGTTGCCAAATTAAGAGGGAAGAAATCTACGTTTTAGTATATGATAAAATAGAGGTAGAATTTGATATTTTCTTAAGAGTTAAGAGCAAAATATGTCAAATCTATCGTTAGTTAAATAGTGTGTGGGAATTGTAACGTTTTCGATTTTGCATCTTAAGGTCAACGAAACATGGAGCCATTTTCGGATAGTGGACTTGTCTATCTTATGTTTGGAGGGATTTCTTTTGTAATACTGAAAATACGAACTTTCGATGTATGTTACCATCGTTGCTATTAAAGATAATGTCCATCTTTCATCAATAATTAATGCACGAGGGACGTCAAATACTCCATGTGTCCCATTTATATATGTTGATTTTATTTTTCACACGGATTAAGAAATCTTATTAATGTTACTGAAAAAGTAATTTTTGTCAAAAACTTTTCTTGTTTATCATTATTTTATTATCAACAATTAGTAATGAATTGGTTATAACTAAACAAATTAAATAAGGGTATATTAGTAAACGAATAAAACAAAATATTCTCAATAAAGAAACAGCATTATATAATTTGGACAAAAAAATAAGTAAAGTCAGCCTATATAAATGAGACAGATGGAATATGCTCTTTAAGATGCATGAAACCACTGTAAGTATCGTTGTCGTTGGTGTATTGAATAAAAACAACCCGAACAATAAAGAATTTGATAAACTTATGCAATAAGCTTTTTATTCCGTTTCTGCAGTATAATAGAATACAATGTTTGAGTTTAAGATACAGAATGAAGTTAAAAATAATGCATGGAAGCGTAAAAGAAGGTAGATATAATAAATTAGAATTCTATCAATTTATCACATATTTAATCTAAAAAAACTTTAATCCATAAATAGATTTATGTCATACAATTGTTGGAGAGTTTGTATAGAAATATGAGTTTTTTGGATGTATGATAGCAATAGAAGAAGTGACTTGTTTATAAGTGTGGAAATAATATACTTAATAAGTTGGATAAAAGACCACACAAATAGGCTTTGAACCTGAGACATATGATTTGGGCTTGATTGGACTACTTGTTAGGCTATATAAATATATATATGATATAGTCAAAAGATAGGCTCTTGGGTCTTGTGATTTCCAAATTTCAGTTTTAGCATTTATATTTCTTTTTTCGTATTTTTTTTCGGTTCTGTTTAAATGGTTATGTC